GATTCAAAAGTAAAATCTCAAAATACTTTTGAAATTTTAAAAATTTTGAGATTGTACAAGATTGATTTGAATCATTCAGTTTTACACTGAATTTTTTATCCTAATCAACTTGGATAGAAATGGAACTCATTAATTTGATTCAGATCAAATTTTACACTTAATTCTGATCATTTTCCTGGAAACAGATTATGTTTGATTTGATTCTAATTAATATTTGTACATGATTTGAATCAATTTTTTTTTTCAAAAGTTTATGGTCAGTTTAGTGGCACTTGATTCGAAACAATTTTTTAATATGATTCGAATCACGTTGAACGCTATTATTTCTTCCATTCTACTTCATTTTGCTAATTTGATTCAAATCATATTTTTCTCTTGATTAGAATCTAAGTACATTTTTCAACCATTTTGTGTGTTTAATCTCAAGCACATATAAAAGCTTTTTGATATTATTTCTCATTAATAAACCAATCATTCTGAACATATTTTTTGGTGCGATTTTTAGTGAAAATCAATTTCTTCTGTTTTGAGTGTTTAAAGTCTTACTACAAAATTCTTACATCTTCAACTTCAATTGAGTCCAGATCTTGATAATGAGAGTTCTGAGATTTATTAAAGGAGGCGTGCACTTAAAACTAACCGTTAAATGGCGATTTCATTTTTTAATGTTGGTCTATTCCCCACCCCCCCGACCGTTTTCTGTTATTGTTGTTTATTTGTTAACTAGCTCATGAGTATTCATTGTTAAAAATTAATAGTTTAGGTTCGAGATGAACCAATGTTTTAACTCTAATTGTAAGAATTCATGTGTTTTTTGATGCTTTAACTCTAATTGTAAGAATTCATGTGTTTTTTGATGAGTGTTAATGAGAAAAATATAATTTTGAATATTTTGATTGAGTTTATGATGAATCTCTCACGAGCAGGAAATTGTTGATGTTGAGACGTTTGGTTCGGTGGAACCATTGTTGTGGCCTTACAATGGCGATGATTATTGATGTTGTGTTTTAAGTTCGAAAGGAACTAGTGACGAGTATTGCATATCTTTGTGTAGCATTCATGAATCATGTATATTAGAGATATGTAGGACTTCAGCCAATGATGAGTAGGACTTCGGTCCGTGAGGAGTAAGACTTTGATCTAGTGATGAGTAAGACTTCGGTTCAAGTGAGGAGTTGCGTGTTTCAGTAACACACCTCGAATATCTAAATTATTGGTACCACATGCATGGTATTATAGAAGATGAATACATTGAATACATAATTGCATATGTTGATTGATTTATGTTGTTTTTGAATTGTGTAATTAATTAATTATGCTACTTGTATTATCCTTGTTGTTTTATGCATTGTTAACTTATGTGAATGTATTCTCACCTCTTTATGTGTTTTATGTTGTTTTATATGCCTGTTGTGCAGATACTCAGGTAGAAACTTAGTAGCTTTAGTTGTTGCTTGTGTTGGAGGATGTATAGTTGGTCTTCTTCGTTGTTTATCCTTCTGGGTTGTCCGCGTATCGCTCTGATAGTGTAACAATGGGTTGAGAATACCTTATTATGTTTTTCTGCAAGTTGTTGAATTAACTATTTTATGATTAAATGAAATTTTTTTAATAGACAATGATATTAATAAAGCACAAGGCGTGCTCAAACACGAAATACAAAAAGCGAGAATGTTACTTCCGCTTAATACATACAACAGGAGCACTATAACAATCAAAAAACACACACTTAGGTATAGAAGTACCACCATACAACCATCTCCAAGAGAACAATTCGAATTGGTCGTATCGTCAACCGACATTAACTTCTTCTTGAAAATAAGAATATTCCTACTATACCAAATAAACCAGACAATGACATTCCATATAACTATACTAGTTGCATTTCCTAGCACAAAATGATTCTAAACACGAACCTTGCAGATTGACATGAATCTCAAACCAACTAGTTATACCCTTCCAAACTTTTTCTTCATAAACACAATCCATGAAAATATCAGTAATGGTCTCCTCTGTCATATCGCACAGAGGGCACAAAAGCGACACTCCACCAAAACCAATCTTTCTTTTACACAACTGGTCCTTCGTGGCGACGCGGTCCCTAAATAGTCTCCACAAAAACACCTGCAAATTAGACTAGATCTTCGACTCCCACACTGCTTTATAACCCACTTGCAAGACAGTGTCGACCTCAAAAACCATCCTATCCTGATATATCAATTCGTAGCAAGAAGAAACAGAAAAAAATGGTCGAGTTCTTGGAATCCCACCTTATAATGTCCTCACTATTAGCAATAGGATTCAAATTCTGCAACAAATCCTTCAAGTCCTCCAATTCCCTTTCCAAAACAGAACCGCAAGGAAAAGGGTGAAAAACAAGATCCCACCTCCAAACTGAATCACACCAATAGCCTACTGCAGCAACCGAGCAAAAGCTAGATAAGAACATATTAGGGAGTAACTCTTTAAGTGAACAATTGAGAGCTCATTTGCAATGCCAAAAAGCCAACTCCTTGCAATTCCAACTCGAACACCTTCCTTAAATAAAGTTGCTTTTTATGCTTTGGAGGGCCTTGATTACAACATTAGGCGCTTTATAGAAAGTTAATTAGAACAACTCTACCGTCTATCGACAAATTCTTACCTTTCCAAGTAAAAAGCCTTCTTCTAACATGATCTATCACATATTTCCACAAACTAGCCTTCATAGGGCTGCCCCAACATAAATTCCCAAAAATTTGAATGGAAACTTACTAATCTCACAGTGCAGAAAAGCTGAAGCTGCATCCAGAAATTTTGCGCTCACATTGATCCCTCCTACACAACTCTTGGAAAAATTAACTCTAAGCCCCGTGACAAGCTCAAAACCTTTTAACATAGCTTTTATGATTAAATGAAGTGATTTCATATTCATGAGACGATTTGGAGTTGTGTTGAAAGTTAATTTCCGTTGTTATTATGATTTTAGAATGTTATGCTGAGAAATGTAGCATCTTTTCGTATTTTATAATTTCACATGATTTATAAATTATGTGCTCGTGATTTAGGGTGTTACATGTTGCACTGTGATGACTCAGAGAGTCATTATCATGAGGGATGATTTCTGGTGGCATCATTGCTAAAGAAGCTGATGTCGATTCCTGTCCTAGGGATATGATGTTCGCGATCGGCACTTGTCTGGCGTATTTCCTTAGAAGGAGTTGGAACGTAGGGATATGATGTTCGCGATCGGCACTTGTCTGGCGTATTTCCTTGAGAAGGAGTTGGAACGTAGGGCTTTATAAACCATCTTTTTGGATGAAGATGGAAAGGATAATGATATAAGAGCTGTGTCTCATGTTAGTCTTATCAGGGGAGTCACTGTACTTTGTCAAAAAAAGCTTAGGTGTGTGTAGTATCCCTACAAGAGTAAGGGATACTCAAAGACCTTAGTAAATGAGGGTGTTAGACCTTAGTAAATGATGGTGGTTAGAATTTGTCCGCTCTTAGTAAATGAGGGTGTTAGACCTTAGTAAATGAGGGTGGTTAGAGCTTGTCCGCGGTAGCGAGAAACTCTGTTTGGTGATGTTTATGATTTTTACGGTGATAAAAAAGATTTGTTCACGTGAGGTGAGATGCTTTATATTATGAGTCTATAAGACTATAAATGTTAAGTTATGACATGATTTTCTCCCACTAGATGAGAGGTATTTATAGACACTTGAATCTAAAATTTTCTTAGAAATGACAACCACTCATTTAGTCAATGGTTGATTATTTAATACCTTTACCATTTGGTTACAATTATAAGCAAAAAAGTTATCTTAAAACTCACTATTATAAACAAAAGTCATTAATTTGTAAATTAGTTAATGCTTGTATTACTAGTATACCCTTCATTTAATTTAAAAGCATTTAATGTTGTAGTAGATTCATCAAATAACTAAAGATATTATAGTAAATTTTACTTTGATTGTACATGAAATCAAGAAAATTAATTACTCTTAATCTTAATTAATATGAAAGTAGTTATATTTGCTTATGTAATTAGGACGTGAATCAATTAGTGACTATAACTTCTCTCGGACCAAAACACATCTTTTTCCACATTTCCCATCACTAGGCTAGTAATATAATACTTAGAGGGCAAGACTCATTAATACTAATTTTTGCCATTCCAAAGGGCTAAATAAATCTTCGGGTAAAATCAAATACTACACATTGTGAATAATCCATGATATATTTACAAACCATTTACACCATCCAACAATATATGACTAATTTGTCAAAAAACAATACATGACTAATGACATTCATTGCATTTAACATCACAACACACGCCAGACATATATGATCCTTTTGGATTGCAATTGCATAACACCAGGTGTATGAACAAAACCTGCTACAGTTACAACATTTTTATAGAAAACTTTATTATCTTATCATTGTTTAAGTATATAAAAGCTTAATTGCGCATTTATACACACTATTTTAGTAATAATAATAAAACCCTCCATAAGTGCCTCTCCCACAGTTTCCTGTATTCCATCTTAACTGCAACAACTGACAATTTGCTTTAATATAACACTAGAACAGCTTTAATAAACAATTTTCATGTTATCAAAATTTACTTTACAGGTAAGAGAAGAAAAAGGCAACAGAAAAAACTCTCCCCCACCAACTGATACTTACCAAACTCTAAAACTAAAACAAGAATCAACATTTCTCACAACCCATCAACAAAACTCTAAATTAGAGTCCAATTGGAGAAGTAAGGTACAAACTAGCAGGACCAAAACAACATGGAGCCTGCAATTGTTTCTAGTTTAATGGTCAATATCAGTTACAGAAGGACAGTACCTTCACATGCCAAGCAATCAGATCATCCTATTGGCAAATTTTTCACCTTCATGCAGCCAATCGCCTTCACGGAACTCCAGCATTATTTTTAGAGTTTCCAAAAATGTTGCCCTAAATAGGACTTCAATCTATCCTGTTTATCTCTTGTCACCGGCCCTGTTTCAGTAGTTACTTGGCCAATTTATATGTGCATGCTGAGGTTGTTGCTGATAAACATTTCCGCCCGGCCCTACCATATCAACTGCTCCAGCCATTGTCTGTGATTGTTGCAGAAGTGGATGAACTGTTCCGGCTGTCCCGGCTTGTGCAGGATGGTGATAGACGCCAGCAAAGTTGCCGTGGCCAGCCTGTGTCGGGGCAAAAGTCACATGCTGACCCTGAGGTGGAAGGTTGTAGAATGAACTAGCAGGCATACTGGAAATGTCCCGACCTTGTGCAGCAACCCACATTGCCGAACCTTCGCTCTGCAGTGGAAAATACCACATAATTATCATCAAATCTAAACATTCTGGAACAACAAATTGATAAAAACATGAACACATATTTAGTATATCAGGAAAATCCACCAATGTATTGTTTTCATGATTGTCGCGTTATCTCGCTAAAATTTAAAAGGTACAAACCTGCTGTCCATTGAGGTATGCATTGTTTTCCTTGAACTGTGATGAACCAAGATCCTCAGTAGAGGTTGAATTTCCTGCAGTTTCTGCAGAATTGGGATTATAACCACCGGATGGGGAGGAGCCATATGCACCATAGGCAGCCGGCATTACATAATGAGCCGAGTTAGCTGCATTTGTTCCAGGTTTGTACTGTGGAAGGGGATATTTCATCCCGTTTGCAGCCACAGCGGAAGGAGGTGGATATACAGTGCTGGCCTGAGGCTGTTGAGGAAATGCACCGTTGGTCAAATATTGATGGATTGCTGGAGGTTGGAGATAGAATGGTGAAATATAATGACCATAAGGGATGTAATTAGGAGAATAATGAGGAATATGAACCCCACTCGGTCCTCGAAATACGGGGAGAGGCTGCTGAGTAGCTATTGAGTTTTGCATCAGCCCAGCAGCTTGAGTTGCATGTTGTGTCTGACCAGCTGTGGACAAGACAGCTCCCTGCATTCAAGAATCAAAACATAAAATACATAAATTTTGGGCAAAAAAATCATGTCTTTGTACAATCCATCACCGGAATATGGCCTTGTAAAATTTAAGAAATCAAACTAAGCTTCCTAATATTTTCGTAATACAGACACAATTAAAACTGTGACGAAAAAAACTTGAAAACAGTCTCAAGAAACGCAAACATGTTTAAGACGTGATTCTTTACTTTTGAACATTTCATTTTGTACAGCTGATTGAAAATAAACTAAAGTCAAAGAACACAAACACAATAGTAACCATAATTACACAGACTTCCACAATATTTTGAAGAGCAACACAAACCTCCTTTTTCCTATTTTTTTAAAAGCATTGCATGATAGCTGGAGGTTTCAGTTGATTTTCAAGATAAAGATGATATGTGTGGTAAAGTTTTAAAAAAACACAAGAGGTGACAACAATCCCCTAAGTTTAAATACCAATAACCTCTTGACAGTATACAACTGTTTCCTTTTTCCTTTCATATTAGTACACAACACAAGTTATCAAATAGCGGCACGATGGCCGCTATGGTGGAAATACATGGCGGTTTTTGGGCTCGCAGCAATGGTAAATATCGGCCGATATTGCGGGTTTTCCACCATAATCCGCTATTATGGCGCTGCAAAGCAGACAGTATGGCGGGATTTTAAATCTCCACAACCGACAACACTATCTACAAAGATAAATAACTGCAACTGTTACTTTAACAATTCAAACCTCTTGAAGAGACTGAGAACTTGGTGTAGGAAGCACTGGAACACCGCCATTGTACTTGGTTGTAACCCCAGCAGAAGGTAAAGGAGAAAGGCGGCCATCACTATCAGCACCAGAGCGGTAATACTGGGCGTAGTAATTAGGATCAAATGGTTGATGAACCTACATAAGATCCAATCAAATTTAACTTGGTAAGAAAAAAAATGCTTAGTAAATTAAACAGTAAACAAAAAAAATGAGAAAAATAGGTCAGAGGGGCTCACAACAAAGCTTGGAAGCCGAGAAATATCGCGTGCCTGAGACTCGGAATTATCAATTTGTGCTGACTGTGTTTCCAACATTGGGGGCATGAAACCTAAATTGTAGTTTGGAGAAGTATGCACCACTGGGTATTCATTACCTTCAGATGGCATAGTTGTGACGTGTTTGGACTCATTATCCTCTTGAATGTTACTGGACGAGACATCCACTTCCACGGATGATGACAAATTTTCAGGTATAGTAGCCGGGAGTGGTTGTGGGTTGTCAGAATAATCTCCGACCACAGGCGGAACTGAAGCATTTTGATTGCTGGAGAAAAATATTTCATTAGCCAAAGGACAGTAAGGATATCATTGGCAAAGAAATAAACAGATATACATAGCAGCAAATGCAAATCAGAAAACAAAAGAAGCATGCCACAGTTCTAGTAGTAACAAGTATGAGTGAGTAAAAGTGTGTGTATATCAAAAGTTCACTCACTATCTATGCATGTCAAAAGTTCACTCACTATCTATGCATATCTAAAGTTTAAATTTTAAGCCTTATAAGCTAATTTTAAATATACCACTTAAATCATAAACATATATAATCAATAACTACTTATAAGATAATTAGATTTCTAAAATGTGTACTAAACATATAGGAAATTTCTCAGAAACCAAATTCAAAAACTAGAATTTCCAAATTTTACAACCTTGAGTTCTGCTCCGCTGCAGTTTCTTCAACAGCCTGAGAAACTTTGGAAAGAGTTGAACTCTTTTCGCTCTCTGGGCTGGTAACATAATTTGTAGTAACCCCAAAATTGATTCCCAGGCTCCCAAAGCTAAACTTGCTCTTTTCAGATTCAGGAACCAAAATATGGTTTGGAAGAATGACATGTTGACGCGGTGGAGCGCTTAAATTCTCAAGCTTCTTCTGCAGTTCAGAAGCAGCTTCCTCAGAATCAAGGACCTTAGACACAGGCGGCAACTGTATGGTAGCTTCAACTGAAACGACGGGAGATTCGGATACGGTAGCTGGTCCGGAAGCCTGGTTAATTGCATGTGTTGGCTTTGGTTTCCACTCCTTAATAGAACCAGCTGTGGTAAAGAAAAACATTATAAATCAAGATGGAAACCAACTCGTGATCATAAATGATCAGCAGGGGGAAATTAATGCAGTCGCACTTAACAACACATCAGGACAAATCTATACAAAATCTTAAAATTCAAAACAACAAAGTAATAAGTGAAAGGCACATAAATACATTCAATAGAACTGGTTTATGACAAAACCTTAATGATCAATTAATAACTAACATAATAGATACCATTACCAAGTGATGCCAAGTGCTACCAAGATCCTTTCTTTACAAAATTATCTACAATTCTCTCAAAGCATCCATATTTTCTGTACCGGTTAAGCATCATTCATTCATGTTATCAGGCCAAATTACAGAAAACAAGAAAACTAGGAAGACAGAAAAAAGTTTGCAAAACACTTTTTTCATGAACTCACAGGATAAACATAAAACTCATTCTTCATTTGATTCTGATCACTGAGAAGTTCTTTCTTTTGTGTATTGAATAAACTTGACAAGCAAATAAAATACACAACAGCATAAGAGTAAGGACCTAGACACAAAAATTTATGCATGATATATGATTTACCTTTCTGAAGGCCGCTTATCTGTTGTGATCGGTTATTGTAGTTGGATGAAGGTCGGCTAACTGAGGTGGTCCCATGTATTACTGTTGATGAAGATGACACCTCAGGAACGTGGTTCTTTGCCACTGCAGGTGATTTTCTTTGACTCTTTCCTTGAAAAGTCTCAGAAGCTGTCATACAGTTAGTGGATGGAAACTCTTCATTAATTACATCGAAAAATGTTAAAACACAAAATTATAATTATAAATGTCCTAACCAGAAGATTTGTTCTCAGAAGTGTTGGCCACATTTAATTCCGCAGGAGGACGTTGGCCTCCCACTTCCCGCTTAATTGCACCAACAGCACCAGGAAAACGTGAATCATTCGATGGAACCAGTACTGGGTCTGAAGAAGAGAAACAGACAGCTGATGATGATGCCGGTCTAGTCCCTAAGCCGTCACTGATGGAAGGCACTGACTCACTTCCAATAACAACTTTTGCACCTTTGTTTGAACTGTCAGAAGGAAAATCCTTACCGACAGTAATATTACCACCATCCGATGGACTAATTCTATCTACATTTCCAGTAGATGAAGGGGATGAATTCACATTAGTAGTTCCAGATGATACAGTTGTAGGCCCATTGGCAATAGCTGGAACAGTGCTGCAAATGACAGATAGTTATGTAGTTTGATCGAAATGTATCACAACTTAAATTTGTGTCGCTGTAAGATAGAAATGACAGCTAATATACACACTACTTACCTTGTTCCAGAACTTTTTTCTCTAGACTTTGTCTCTTGCGAACCTGGCAAAGGGGGCACGCCCTTTGAAGTTTCTTGGTTGGACCCGTTATCTTTGCCGGTGCCAGAACTCTTGCCACCACGGGCATCTGAGAGAAGGCCAATAGAATATTAATTTAGTTTCTACAGCCAAATACAATATCCTAATAGTTGCACATTAGAAATACAGCTTAATCTACAACTTTTCATTCAAGAGACCGGTTATACATGTTAATGAGGGCAAAGTAACAAATAATAACTTTCGAGATGAAAAGTAGTCAAATGCTACTACATTGTGTTCCAAACATGTTATAAATAAAGAGAATTTAACGTTAACAAAGCAAAAAACTGTGTTAGCAGAAAAATTCGAGGGTTATAAGCAGGAAAGAGAAAAATAGGAAATAATCGAAGAGCACAAAGGTGCGGAAAAAACTTAAACAGGATGTGATTCAGAATAGCTATTTCACCGTGCACTATGCGATGAGGAGCAAAATTTCCCCGGCCACCTCTAACCCCTCGCCCTTGGGTGCCAGGTCTCGAATGTGACTCCGAAGTCTCTCTGTTGTTAACATTCTGCAGAATCATAGATAAATGAAAGGAAAAACATGAACAGAATTAGCCAGCTAAAACAGGGAAGAGCATTAGTAAATTACAAAAATCACATCATATAGACAAACAAAACACAACTTCTAAAAGTCCTAAAAGTTCCCCCTCTACCTCCAGTGAGCAATTGAAGTCCTTCTAAACCATTATTAATACATGAACACCTAACGAAATGGTGTAGTCATGCTTCAGAAGCCAAAAGAAATGAACAACAATTAACAAAGTCAGGAGAGGGCAAGAGGGGGGAAAGGATCCCCAAACAACCATAATGAAACATCACAAAAGCAGCTATAGTCACACATAACATGCTCAGAAAACTAATCATATATCTGTTTAATGCAATTCACAATAGATACTTTACATGTATTTAAAAAATAGATATTTGACTAGGTCTAGGTGTATTTGAAACAAAACATAAAAAGGCTAAAGACGGCATGGATAAACTGAGCATAACAGAAATTTGGAACAATGATCAACATGATTGCTACAGTCTAGCAAGCAGTAAGAACAAAATATACCTCTTTTCTTCGGTCCTTCTTTCTTTTGACCTCGTGAAATGTATCTGCAAAAACAGTTCCTTGCAGTTATTTTGTTTGGACATGGATGAATATGTAACAGCAACAGTACAAGAAGGCCATAACATGCTTGAACAACTTCAAAATGTCATAGTTAATAGCAATACATGAATTGGTATTGATAATTAAGATGCAAAATTATGAGAGCTTGAAACATCACATGGGAAGAATGAAAGGGATATACTAAAAGACCGCGAAAGTATTTACAGGAAACAACCAACATGATATATGTCATATTTAACAGGCATAAACCAGAAATTCTGCTGTATGTACCAAAAACTATGATTGAAATTTACTCCAGTTAAGGGCAATGGTATCAAATAACGGCCATGGCGGCGTTATGGTGGATATACATGGTGGTTTTAAGGTTCGTTGTAATGGTAAATGTTGGCCGATATTGCGGGTTTTACCGCCATAACGCCACAGAACGGCCAATACGGCGGGATTTTGGCTCTCCGCCATGGACTGACATCCTCCATCGACACGGATAGCAATAACCGTAAATAACAATACATAATGGATAGCAAAACATGGAACTGGAAAAAAAATAAAGAAAACAAACAAATTTAAGCATCTACATTAGAGGAATTTAGCGTCCAGCTATGTACACTGGCAATATTGGTCGCTATCGCATCGGCCACAGCAAACTGTTCAAAACCGTTCCAATACAGACTTCCATAGCTGACAATGGCCATTATGGCGCACAATAGACAAAATAGCCACAATAGAGAATGAAATCCAAATTCTCCTCCTATCTATACTGGAGGAAACATCAGGGCAATAACCAACTACAGCAAATTGAGGAACCAGAACATAGAATAACCTCACAAAAGTAATAAACTGCAAGCCACCAAATGATTATCAACTGAGCTGAACACTTAGAAGCACAACAATTGTAGACCCAAGAAAAAAAACTGAGTCAAGTTCACAGCTATAATACAAGTCAACCAAACACATCTGATGTGAAACCAGGCATTCAAAAACAAATTCCAGAAAATGACTCTTGTCTAAAGTCTAAACACAACTCACCTTTCCTTAGACCAACAACTACACAGCACCTAAGAAAAATCAAAAGGGGCATAAAAAAAACCTAAATTTAACACAACAGAACTTCATCAACAGTAAAAAGAAGCTAACTTTCTATAGACCAAGCTACACAAAACCTCAAAAAAATCAAAAGGGGCAATTTTAAAAATTAAAAAAAAAAAGTCCAAACCTAGCCAAACAAAACTTCACCCTAAAGGGTCCCCACTTCATACTCCAAAAACCCAATTCCACCGACACACTTTCAAAAACCAAATAAAACCCAGATTTTTAAAACACAGAAAAAAAATCAATAAGATCAAGATCGAAAAAACCGAAGAACAACATAAGAAGATGATTATACCCTGAAAGAGAAGCTTCTGAGTAGTCTCGTTGGGATCCATTTCACACTCCTTAAGCATTGCATAAATCTCATCATCACTATGATTACCCGTGATCTCCTTAATATTCTGGATCGTCTTCCTGACACCGCTCGGAATCGAAACCCTCGACCCAGTAGCGCTCATGTTTGCAGAAAATTGAAAAGCCAGAAACTTTCAAGTTTGAAACAACAATAGATAGATAGAGAGAGAAAGAGGAAGAGGAGAGAGAAAGAGAGAGAAAGATGGTATTTTTATAGAGAAAGAGAAAGAAGGGTTCAGTGATTTTGTTATGGGTGATGATGCAAAAGAGAGACTAACGAAGAAACATTTGAAGTTCGTATAACTTGGCACAAGGTGCGTGTTTTTGTGTGATCCGTTATATAATTATTTCTCAATAATAATAATGTTTTTTTTTCTTTTTCCTTTTATATTTTTTAAATAAATTGATTCATTTAACTCAAACAGGAAATAACGTAAGGAATGTGAGGGAAAAATATGGTTAGATATTTAGACAAAATCCATGTATTGGTGAGTAAGGAACAAGAGAGAGAGAAAAAACCAAACAATAATGTAGGGCTTTTAAGTTTCGCTTGTTTGGTGTGTTTTTAAATTATTATTATTATTATTTATGTTTTTTATTTATTTTTTTCCACACACTTGCCTTCTCCTCTCCTTGCAATTTCTTTTGCCTTTCTATACCTTTTTAATTTATTGACTTTGATATTGGTTCTCTTTTCTTTTTCCTTGCATTTTTTAATTCAATTCACCTTTATTAAGATATGCATGTTGGTTACCTAAAAACAAAATATAATTCCTCTATTTTATTAAGATATGCATGTGTATAAAAAATAAAGGACATTTGTATCATTTAATCAATAAAAGTATATGTTTTGGTTTGCCTATCTACAAATGTATTTTTCTTTCTAAAAATATTAGATATTTTGAATCTAGAAAAGATTGAAAAATTAACTTTTTATTAATTTTATTAATTTGTGGAGAAAAAATTAGGTGTTTTATTTTTTTATTTTTTTATTAGTTTGATAATCGCTTTTAAATCGGTCATTCTAGAAATTAAAATAGAGATAATATTAACACGCTTTTCTGAATTTTATTTTAAAATTTCACAAAAGTGTCGTGTACAGAGTTGTAGTTGAATATATTAATTGACAATTTTGCCATACAAACTAGGGGCGGTGGTGGTATTCAGTGGTTTGTTGTTTTCTTCATCATTGCTTTCGTAATATTTTCCAAATTAATTATCTTAAAAATTGCATATGCGAACAAATTTCACATGTTTTTTTATTTTACGTCCAAATTACACAAAAGTGTCGTATACAGTTGTAATTGAATATATTAACTGATAACTTAGTCATACAAATCAGGGGAGGTGGTGGAATCCTTTGGTTTGTTGTTTTCTTCATCACTACTTTGGTAATATTTTCCAAATTAATTATTTTCAAATTTTCAAATGCGAACAAATTTCACGTGTTTCTGATTTTACTTCTAAACTACACAAAAGTGTTGTGTACAACTGTAATTTAATATATTAAATTGATAATTTGACCATACAAACTAGGCGAATGTGGTATTCAGTGGTTTGTTGTTTTCTTCATCACTACTTTAATAACATTTCCCAAATTAATTATTTTAAAATTTTCAAATGCGAACAAATTTCACGTTTTTTTTATTTTACTTCTAAGCTACACAAAAGTGTTGTGTACAACTGTAATTGAATATATTAAATTGATAATTTAGTCCTACAGACAGACTGGGGGCGGAGGTGGTATTCATTTATTCATTGGTTTCTTCGCCATTATTTTGGTAACATTTCTCAAATTAATTATTTTAAAAATAAAAAATGTGACAAAAGTGTTGTATACATTTGTAATTGAATATATAATCACATAAACCGGAGGCGGAGGTGGTATTCATTTGTTCATTGTTTTCTTTAACACTACTTTGGTAATATTTCTCAAATCAATTATTTTAAAAATTACAAACGCGAACAAATTTTACGTGTTTTTTTTTTATTTTACTTCTAAGCTACACAAAAGTGTGATGGTAAAATTGTTAGAAGTTGAACTCTTCCTTTTTAATTGGTCTAACCAGTTACCAGATATGTGATTATCGATTACATGCTTTGAAAAACGCGTGGCTGACTACAGAAATGGAGTCTAACTGGTTACTCCAAATATGGTAATCAGTTACACTGGGAGATTTTTTTATTTTCAGCTTATTTTTTAAGTTGTTTTGTATTTTTCTCAATCTTTGTACTTGTTGTATAAATAGCCTTCCTTGCTCCCATTTTGGGTTAATGCAAATTTTAATTCTCACTCTCAATTACTCTCTCTCTCTCTATTTTTCTCTCTCTATTTTCTCACTTCATCTTTTTCAAATTAACCCAATTCTCCATTGATTTATCATTGAAGTTTTGTATGTTCTTACATTTGCCATTGTTGCGGTGAGAATTGTGATATCAAGCTATTGATTAACTTGAATCTTAATTCTTAAATTCACAATCGAACTTTAATTTATCCAAAAATGAAAGGTTTAAAGAAAGAAAAACCTATAAAAATGCAAAGCGAACAGCAAGGCCTAAAGCTAAGCAAAGAGAGATCTAAAGGTTCGGGGGTTGGTTATGCCTAGGGTAGGTATTTCACATCCTAAACATCTGTAGTACTCTACAGGAACCTCTTGTTAGTATTTGCGTTGTGCTAAAGTTTGCTTGCTAAAGGAAAAGTGTTAAGGGTAAAGATATAAAGTATATACAAAGTTTGTACAAAGTTTGCTCGCCAAGAAATCGCATCTCGTGCCTACGTATCCTGACGGGAATAGAATCAGAGCAATCGTAGTTTCTCTAACCAGGGGCGAGGGACTCTTGACTATGGTCAAGGCTCCAGGGGGTGTAAGCATTCATATGGAAGTACTTACATGGAGTGCGGCGACTCCTGAATCTACGTTGAGATTGTTATGATAAAGGATGTCCACGATGGGACGCTAAACATGAGTACAGCGACTTCAATTCTAAGTTGTAAATGTTAACAGGAAGTTAGTTGTTAGTGAGCTCGCCAAGAAATTGCATCTTATGCCTACGTATTCTTAACGAGAAATCAGAGCGTTCGTAGTTCCCCTTTTCAGGGTGAGGAGCTATTGACTGTGGTCAAGGTTCCAAAGGGATGTAAGCATTCATAGAGAAGAACTTACATGGAGTGCGGCGACTCCTGAATCTATGTTGAGATTGTTGTGGTAAAGAATGTCCACGGCGGGACGCTAAACATGAGTACGATGACTTAGATCCTAAGGTTAGGATAACGGGTAAAGGATGTCCACGGCGGGATGACTAAATAGAGCACGGCGACTCCAATCCTAAGGTTAGGATAAAGGGTAAAGGATGTCCACGGCGGGACGACTAAATAGAGCACGACGACTCCAAGCCTAAGTTGAAAAGGTAAACGAGGGAAATGTCTACGACGGGACGCTAAATGTGAGTACGGCGGCTCAAATCCTAAGGTTAGGATAAAGGGTAAAGGTTATCATACATAAACCAATAATGTCACAACGATGTAAATAAAACAGTTCAAAATCTCTTAGGGATAGTCAACAGTTTTTAAAGGTGAACCGTTTAAACACGTACAAGCAAAGTTGAATTTCAATACTTAAGTGCACAAGGGAGACAACAAGCCATGTTCATAAATTAAAACTCAAAGAGAATGAAATCAAAGTTTTTGAAATGGAGGAAATGAGAGAAGGTGAAAATTTTAAAATGAATTACAACTTTCTTTAATGTAAAGTGTTTCTAAAAATGAGATTTTAGAATTCTTTAAACATTTGATGAAAGTATGCAATAAAATAAAATTTTAGCAAAAAGAATCACCTAAAAATGATTAAAAGGAGTTATGGTAAGTTGAAAATTAAATAAAATAAAATGAAACCATGTGCTAAAAACGAAGGAAATGCCTCACCAAGGCTTGAACCCAAGACCTTGGGGTCATAGGCTTAAAACAATGTCAACCCAACCACTAAGTACCTGTGACAAGTGATGGAAAAAGAAGAACAAAACAATAAAATGCGGAGAAACCATGAAAATAGGCAAAAACGCCCTCGCTGAGGGTCGAACTAGGGATCACGCGCATGACAAAGTACTTATAGGCAAGGCATTAACCACTGGGTGGCGATACATCTATTGTATCAAGCCCCCCCCCCTCCCCCAGTTGTATATGTAACAAAAGGGCGTATATTTTCTGGGCAACCTCATGGCCAAAACTATGTGAAGAACATCAAAACGGTTTCGATATAACTCTTTCAATTCTCCATCAAAATTGATAAATTTTGAGTCTAACTTGCTTGATTTTTCATGAGGATCATAATGGTGCAATCCATTTTTTAAATATTGTACATAGATAAAAACATGAATGCTCATGCAATGAGAGACATTGAGATGCATTTTGAAGAACATAGATCAAACCAGATGCAACTAAAGTCATGTAACAGTTTGAGCAAACTCTAAATATGTTATGGAAGGAATTCTGACAAGAAAATCCATTCAAGAAGCACCCAAGCAAGATATTGATTTGTGAGTTACAAATGATGGAATTTGTGTTCTTAATGACCTCTGCAATTCAACAATGTTAGAGTAATGTCTCCAAGACAAAACAAAAGTTTAATGATCTATAACTGATTTAGAATTCAATCACACGTATTTCATAAAGCTTGAAAGCAAATAAATTGACAGAATCAAACAGTGTTGATCATACCATGCTTTGACAGCATTTGGTTGAATCATTTCAACAGATGCAGCACCCCCAATATAACATGATTACAACAGCCAAACAAAAATTACAGCCCAAAGGAGTTGACAGACCTGAACCCGAACATGGCTTGACAGAATCAAAACATGTTTAAAAACAAGTTCCAAAACAGACTTATCCAAAATGGGAACTGAAATACAATAGTCAAACAAAAGCTACATGACAGTGTTAAATGGTCTATGTCAAACTAAACTCAAACACCAATCACCCATTGTTAACAACACATTAAGGCCAATCTCAAATCAACTCTAATGTGAGAAACAGATCTAATCAGCAAGTAGAGAATTGGTAAACTCAAACCCCACAAAACAAAATCTTGACATGAATCCTAATACC